TAGATGAATGCTCCGTGCATTCACTGAGTATTCTGTGTCCGCGTTTATCACAACCATGTGCAATTCATCCAAATCCATCATCATCAACATCTACATCATCATCAACACCATAATCATCATCAACATCATCATCACCAAAATCACCATCTTCATCATCATCATCAACATCATCATCATCAGCATAACAATCATCTTAAACTCATCATCTTCATCCTATGCAATCGGAAAATATAGAAACAATACAAGAAGATGCCTGTGTCACCCACACACTCTCACACACAACACCCATACTCTCTATCTCTCTCTCTCTCTCCCTCTATCTCTCTCGCTAACGCAAATGCAAATCTCATCTTCCACTCACCTGTCACCATGCTGTCTTCACTTGCTTCTACCGAGGCTATCTCTCCTGATTTCCAGACAGAGAATTCAACGGAGAAATGAACAGAGAGAAAGAGACACAATGATTCATTCAGTAATTCATACAGAGAGACAGAGAGAGTGTGATTCTGTGTGTGCGTGTGCGTGTGCGTGAGCGTGTTTCTGTGTCTTCCTTTGTGTGCGTGTGTTTCCGTGTGTGTGTGTGTGTGTGTGTGTATGTGCACGCCTATGTATATATATCACATGAATTATTCTGATTCCGTTGTTGGTGAATCGTGTCACGGGAACTATTCACACACATGCAGGTCACTCTCAATCACTCACTCACTCACTCACTCACTCACTCACTCAAAATCACACTCACACAGGATAACACACAACACACACACACACACACACGCATTCTCCTTCACATATCCTCATTCGCCTACACATGCACTGAGTCTTCCACATCCACCTCGTAGATGAATGCTCCGTGCATTCACTGAGTATTCTGTGTCCGCGTTTATCACAACCATGTGCAATTCATCCAAATCCATCATCATCAACATCTACATCATCATCAACACCATAATCATCATCAACATCATCATCACCAAAATCACCATCTTCATCATCATCATCAACATCATCATCATCAGCATAACAATCATCTTAAACTCATCATCTTCATCCTATGCAATCGGAAAATATAGAAACAATACAAGAAGATGCCTGTGTCACCCACACACTCTCACACACAACACCCATACTCTCTTTCTCTCTCTCTCTCTCCCTCTATCTCTCTCGCTAACGCAAATGCAAATCTCATCTTCCACTCACCTGTCACCATGCTGTCTTCACTTGCTTCTACCGAAGCTATCTCTCCTGATTTCCAGACAGAGAATTCAACGGAGAAATGAACAGAGAGAAAGGGACACAATGATTGATTCAGTCAATCTCGCAGGGACACTGATAGTTTTTCTGCATATCTTTTTTTTCCTTATTTTTTTCAGGTTTTTTTTCTCTGGTTAATTTATCTTTCGATTGTTTTGGTTGGTATTGTGGTGTGAATCTTGAATCTGTTTGTTCATGTTATTTTTGCTGATTATATTCTTAGAGTTATGTTTTTTTTTGTAATTTTTTTCTCTTGTATTCTTTTGGTGAGTTTGCAAATTGTTTGACATGCATTTGTTTTGATGCGTGCTCGTATGTCTTCGATATGCTTTTCTGGAACCTGGCATGGGCGAGGATTGTTTTCAAGTTTTTATTTTGATAAGCATTCTGTTGCTTTTCTTTTGGTTGCTTTCTTGTGGTTTTATTTTTATTCCACTTTTTTTGGTTGGTTTTTTCATCACGTTGCTTCTTGATATTTTTCTTTTTTATTTCTTCAAGGGTACCCTAATACTCTTTCGGTCTTTATTTTTCGTGTATTATGCTTTTTTTTCTGGTCATCTTACTTCTTTTTCAGTTCTTTTTTATGGGGGATTTCGTCACTCATTGCTTGCCTTCTTTGTTTTTGTTTATTTCTCCTCAGTGTTTTTAAGTTTATATACTTATTCGATTCTCTCGTTTCGTTTGTTGGTCGATTTTTTCATTGATTGGGTTCTATGATTATTTCCAGTTTTCCACTGTATTTTGGTGCGTTATATATATATATATATATATATATATATATATATATATATTTATATATATATATATATATATATATATATATATATACTGTTTGCATTTGACTTGTTTCTAGCCCTGGCCTTCTTCAATGCTAACTCCTATTTGACATTATTGCGATCCTTTTTCGTATATATCGCACATTTTGTTATATTATGCACTATGGGTAGTATAATGGCATTAGAATTTTCATCCTGTCATTTGATGTCACAATCATTCATATGTATTCCCTGACAGCTAGTGACATTTGTTTTCTAGGCATCGAAACGTGTGGATTCGTTATTATTATATGCAAGCAAGTTAAGTATGTTTTGAACATGCTGTAATTTGTATGGTTAGTTCAGATACGGAAGCTTAAAGACACTGGTTAGTCATCAGTAAAAGGCGATGGCCTACTTGGTCATAAATCTATATGTATATTGAAAAAAATCAAGCTGAACAAATGCCACCTTCGCATATAATTAATATTAGGAAGCAAACATACATAGATGATACATTTGATTACAATCAACTTACCAGCGAAATATGCATTTTCTGACTTCGGAAGCTGGCATACGGAAACGCTTACTAGTCAAAACAATGAACAAAAATTAATTGATAAACTAAAATAATAGTTATCAATTAAAACTGCATGGATGAAATGATGTCCGTAACTAAATCGACAAACTCCTCCAAAGTGAATCTTTTACTCACACCTGACAGCTTAGCAAAAGTTCTTAGAGCAAGTTGTTCGTCAATAATGATAATAATATTGACGATCATTTGACTATCTGAGATAGACGTAGTTTGGCAGACTTGTATTTATACTGGATGATGACTGAAAGTGAGATGAAGATTTTGACCGCAGCTGGATTCGAAACAGCCATCATCTAGTTTCCAGCCCAATTCTCTACCAACTAAGATATGACGTCCAACTACTCACCAGATCTTTATTTCACTTCAATCACCATGGGGTTCTACCCGACTATCATGTGAATTCGTGACACGTTACTACCGCTTGATCGCATTTAAACTGGCTGCCTGCCCACTCAGGCCTTCTCATCCAAATCCAAATCTAACTGAATTAGAGAGGTGGAGCATCACATTGATTATCATTTGACTATGGAGAAAGCCAGGGTGAATACAATCAAGCGGTAGCAAAGCATCATGAATTCAAATGGTAGTCGGGCAAAACCCTTGGTGATTGAAGTGAAATAAAAATCTCGTGAACAGCCGGACTTCGTATCTTAGTTGGTAAAGCAACGGGCCGGAAACCCGATGGTCACTGGTTAAATCGTCACTCAGTTTTAAACCACACGTCTAACATATATTGAAACCAAAACTACTAGCTGCTTCAGCTGTCGGTTGGTTACACTACAAATACGTTCGGTAATTACCGCGGAACTTACGCCTAAGGAATATGATCATGCTAGACATGATGCTGTAAAGCTAAGCAATGTTGCTTAGTGTCAAACTTGGACCAACCATTTTATCGATGTAAACACTTGGAGTATTTTGATTCATAATCTGACACTAAGGAAAAAGCTACATAGAGAATACAAATTCATCTTTCTAACCATCTAGTGTACGTTTATTAACGAGGCAATGAACTAAACTAACGAGTTTTGCACTTACTGTGTAACAGAATCAGGAAGACATTGTTCAATCGACTATGCTTCACCATGATAAGCACTATTAAAGCTGATCACACTATTCAGGTGCTTATATATGTATATAACTAGTATGTTAAACAATTTGAGTGTTTCATTCTTTTTGTTTTGTTTTCGTTTTCAGTGTTCTTTGGAAGACAGACAATCATCCGATATTGAAGATTCAGTGAAAAGTGTAATACAACTTCTGCCTTAAAGTCAGGAGAAATTATCGTATTCAGAGTTTTAAGTTCTGTTGTATAATTTCATTTATTCAGTTTGTTTCACGAGGCAGCTCATTTCATCATAGCAGGGTTTTGCACTGTTTCTACGTAGTAGAAAATGATGGTTTCTAACACTAGTAAGAAGTTCAGATTTTGGCGGCAACTGAAACCTCTGCTTAGTTTTGTGATGCAAGTTTTGACATTTGCGAGGTCCTTTTTTCACCATTACAATTACCAACTCACTGCACGGTAGTGATAAATTTTAAAAGTGAGTCATCTCTTAGAGAATTCACTAATTATTGCAGTGGTATTCTTCAAATGGTTCTTTTTTTAGCAAATTTTGGCAAATCCTATCATTTGGCTGAACACTGTTAACGTATAAACACTATTTTCTATTAAGCAACCAAAACTGAGTGGCTGCACACGTACTCTGATAGCGAGCTGTTGATAGTAACAGATTGGAAGCCTAATTCTTAATCACAACGAATCTTGGATAGGCTTGTGACAATTATGATGGAAGCAGTTCTCTTGCCTTCTGTTTCTATCAGTACTCAAAAGTCATTTAAGTTCAGGAAACTGCATGTGTCAAAGTGATGTTATCTGTCAAGCGTTTAAATTATGTACGGCAGGTGACAGCCAGAAACTACCTTGTAAGTGAGTTTCATACCTCTGTTTTATACAAATAGCGTGAGTCTGCTCGAACTGGATTTAAATTTAACTTAAGGGTTATAAACCAAAGAAACTAAGTCTTATGTGGATTCATTGTACCTTGTCGTGGTGACGTGGAACAAACGATATCATGCGAACATACCGAAGTACGATTAGACTTCAAGTAAGCGTAGAATACAATGAAGCACATCATTCTTTTTATAAAACAATAGCAATGGTCACATCTGTGTCTACCTTTTTTGTTGAAGATAAGTAGGTGTTGTTCAAAACAAAATTCAGTCTAGAAAGTAATGACCTGAATCTTCAATATCGGATGATTGTCTGTCTTCCAAAGAACACTGAAAACGAAAACAAAACAAAAAGAATGAAACACTCAAATTGTTTAACATACTAGTTATATACATATATAAGCACCTGAATAGTGTG